TTTGGTGGTACTATTATTGTACTTTAAAAAAATTAATTTTCCAAAATTACCCTTTGATAGTATATTTTTTGGAGAATATCAATATCATAATTGTACTTTTTATATTGTTTATGAATTTAAAAGAAGGGCAAAATAGAAAATTTATATTATTTTTGTACTTGATTTTTGGAGAAGGACTAATATTTTGAGACAATGAAAAATGAAATAAATGACTAATATTTTGGGATGGAGGGAGTAGTTGATATTTAAAGTTGATGTTGTGGGCCCATACCTAAAGTAAATCAAAACTATTAACATAAAATTTTAAGTATTTTCTGAGTTTTTATGTTTGGAATTGTAGTATTGCTCTTGTTATAAGCCATTGTTTTTTTTTTTCTATTAATAATTTTTTTGAAAAAAATTTGTAACATTGCTGAATTGCTAATGTGTTGGTTAAAAGTGTTAATACTAAAAATATATATAGTTTCTTTTGCATATTTATAATTTTTTTAATAAATTTTTGAAGTGATCAAAGTTGATTTTTTTAACAAAAAATTATGAGTATATCCAAATAACTGATAGTTTTTCTGTCTCTGTATAACAAATGTACATTTTTAACGAATAAAATGCTTTTAAAAGGTTGTCAAAGGAACTTTATAACTATGGAATTGGAGGCCTCGTTTGGGAACCCTCCCTTTAGTTAAAAAGTCAAAAAATTACTAAATTAGCCAAAAAGTCAACAACCCATACCAAAAAGTCAATGATTCTCTTTTCTCTCTATTTTTTGCACATCTTTTCGTAAAAAGCCAAAAAGTCATCACAAAGATACTAATTTTTTTTAGCTCATATTTTAGTCAAATAGCCAAAATGTTACTAAATTAGCTTGTTCCCAAACGAGGCTATATCCTAGTTAATTCTGAATTTCATATTTTAATATAAAAATTATTTTAATTAAGAAAATGTTTGAAACTCTGAAAGCGAAAGAGAAAATGTGAAGCGAATAAAACATAAATGAATTAACCCAAAATGATATTCTAAAAAATGATGAATTTATTCAAACATATTCTAAAAAAATATTTACAATTAACCCAAAATGATGTAGCATTAGAGGTGTTAATTTGTTACCCTCATAATCATGTAAGACACAATTAATTTGTTCAACAATGATGAGTAGCTTGAATTTTCATAATCCGAATAGTTCGAATGACTCGAATTTCTCAAAACGATAGCATTAGAGGTGTTAATTTATTACCCACATAATCATATAAGACACAATTAATTTGTTCAACAATGATGGGTAGCTTGAATTTTCATAATCCGAATAGTTCGAATGACTCAAATTTCTCAAAACGACGTCGTTTTGATACATTTAGACCACATAAATTCGAGGTACGAAGCATTTTTGTAATTTGTTATTGTTTGGGGTAAACTACAATAACACATTTCTTATCTTTTTTAGATCACATCACCTCTCTATTTTTCTATACATCTTTTCATAAAAAAGTCACAAAATATACTTATTTAAATCATTACAAACAATCAAACATTTCAAATGTGCATCTCAACTTTCACTTGCAAGGAAACGAAACTCACTTTCTTCACATATCTGACTCTCTTCATAGAAATAGGTTCTCTCCATTTTCCATCTTATTTTCTCTTCCTAAAATATTTTCCCACTCTTCCTCATTCATTCTCTCCCCAACTATTTACGATATTCCTTGTAACTAAACTACCTCAATAGAGGTGTCTTTTTCATAATAGCTGTAGTTTCAGTTTCTAGTTCAATATATTGAAGTTTTTGCAGTCCACAAATTCCTAGATACAGTAAATGTCACCACTTGAATCTCTTCATCCTCACAAGATGAAAGGAACTTGAAATTTGGATTTGGGTTTCATTTTCCCAAGAAAATGGAGATTTTCCGGGATTCCGTCCTCTGTTTCTTGCTCTTTCTTGTCATTCTCCCTCCTTCAATAGCTCAGTCATCTCCATCAGAAACCAGAATTCTTTTCCAAATCCAACAAATTCTTGAATACCCAGAAGCCCTTCAAGGATGGAAAAACTGGACCAGCTTCTGTTACCTCCCTCAATCACCATATCTAGTGATTGTCTGCTCGGAAAATCACACAACAGAATTTTCTCTCGTGGGAAACAGAACCTCCCCTCCCAATCCCACATTCCACCAAAACCCACCTCAGGAAACTTGTTTGTTTCTCAGGAAACTCTCTCTGATTAATTCTCCATCGGTTCATTCGTCAGAGTCCTAACCAAGCTCTCCAATTTGAAAGTACTCTCACTAGTGTCCTTAGGCTTATGGGGTCAATTACCCGCAACGATCAACCGACTAAAATCACTCGAGAAACTGAATATCAGTTCGAATTTCATCTCCGGAGAAATTCCTGGATCGATTTCAGTTTTGACAAATCTCACGAGCCTTGTTTTGGCTGACAATCTCTTCAATGGGAGTGTTCCAGACATGAAAAGCTTACAATCTCTTCAAGAGATCGATTTAAGTATCAATCGCCTAGGGCCTGAATTTCCATCTATGAGTACCAATCTTGCAACAATCAAATTAAAAAACAATTCTTTGAGATCTGGAATTCCTTCACAGATCAAGGACTTTGATCTGCTTCAACGATTCGATGTATCGGGAAACAAACTTGTGGGTCCTATTCCATCTCCTCTGTTTTCTCTGCCTTCAATCCAGTACCTCAATTTGGATGACAATCAATTCAATGGTGCTCTCTCATTGAATCTATCTTGTAGTGTCAATCTCACATTTGTTGATATTTCTAGCAACTTTTTGATTGGGAAATTACCCGCCTGCATTGGATCAAACGCCACCAATCGAACTGTACTGAGTTCATGGAATTGTCTGACAAGTGGAGGTTTGGAATATCAACACCCGTATTCCTTCTGTCAGAAAGAAGCATTGGCGGTTATTCCCCCGAATACGAATCGCGAGGGGCAGTCTAAGGGCAAACGGTATTTTGGTGGTGTTGTTGGGGCAGTTTTCGCGGTTGGATTGTTGATTTTGATAATTTTTAGAAGAGAGAATAAGAAGAAGAAGAAAGATGATAGTTTCGAATGCGATAGCTTTGTTTTGGAGAAGAGCTCTGTTCGGAGCGAGCCTGCCATTGATGGAAGTAAGCTCTTGATCTTGATCTTTCTTCTTCCCATTTTTTACAAAATTCATTTTACCACGTTGTTGCTGCGATATGGCCCAAAATGTTTATTACTTGTGATTTTTTAAAAATATAGTCAAATATGGTTCACATTTTTTACAAAATCCATTTTACCATGTTGTGGAGGAAGACCAAGGGTATAAATGTCTTTTTACAAGTAAAGCTAACAGAATTGGTTTTGCTATATATTCAAAACTATATGAAGAATATTTAGCTGTTTTAAAAAATTAGGAAACCAAGTGCTATGGAACCACAGGTGGGCCTAAAATGTACTTTCATTCATTCTCTCACCTTGGTTGTTGAGAAATCACTTAAATGTTCATTCAAAGTTCATGAAAATAGCTTGGTTTAGTGACAAAAAAATTCAATTACATAGGACATGTACCACAAACTATGACGATGCTGTTGATGGGGCTACCACCATACCATGTTTTCACATTGGAGGAAATGGAAGATGCGACAAACAACTTCGACCCCTCAAATTTGGCTGGGGAAGGATCTCAGGGACAGGTAAAAAGAGTTAGATCGACACAAATTTCATTGAACGAGACAGATTAGAGCATCTTACTATTTTCAATCTTATTCACGTTAATCAATGAACAATTAGTTTTCATTGATTATAGCTCTATAGAGGATGGCTCAGAGACGACTTGATCTGCCTGGTGAAATGTCTGAAGTTGAAACAGAAGCATTCGTAACAAAGCTTGCAGCAGCACATGGAAGTGATATCGAAGCTGAGGCATCGGCATTTGGTTAGTGTTCTAGGACACTGCATTGTGACATACCAGAACCACCACCCCAATGCAGCTTAGCACTGTCTTCATTGTCCTTGAACATGTTGCAAATGGGTCTTTGAGGGATCACCTTACAGGTAAAATAACTAGCACACATCATGTCAATGTCCCTGACACAAAAAAATACGATGACCAAAGTGAAACTAGAGAAACCAATGATGGGCTTAGCCCCCTTTTGTCACCCAAAAAAATAATTGGTTTCTAGTTTTTCAAAACACTTTTCAGAAAATTCTATTCTCTTATTTTGCGTGTTTTTTTGTTTTTACTGAATTTTTTTAATATTTTAAGCAATTTTTTTACTTTTTAGACACACCTAACATAAATACACCTAAAAAGTAAAAAAATTATAATTTTTTTTTTTTAAAAATTCATTAAATACCAAAAATACAAAAAAATACAAGAATTCAGTACATTTTTTGTATTTTTATGTATTTATTAATTTTTTAAAAATAATTTTTCACGAATTTTTTACTTTTTAAATACATCTAAGTAAGGTGCATCTAAAAAAGTAAAAAAAAAATGTTTAAAATTTAAAAAATATTCACTAAAAACAAAAAAACACAAAAATAAAAAAAAATCAGTTTTCAAAAAACTTAATCCAGAAAACTCAAACCAAACACAGTGAATAATTTTCATGTAATTTACCTATTCTATATAATTATTCTTTTACAACAAACATTTCATAAACACGTGTATTTTTTGTTTGGACATAAATAAGGATATTTTTATAGAGTTTTTTTTTTTTTTTTTTTTTTTTTTTTTTTTTTTGGTATTTATTATATAATTTTAGATAGTTTATTTGGGATTAAACTAAAATGTAAGGTTAATTACACTTTACCCCTTAACTACCATTGAATATCACCTTATCATTCTGTTGACTTTAAAAATACTTATAGACTCTCAACTATCAAAAGTTGTACAAAGACCCCATTTTTGGAGGAGAAAGGTGAAGAATTTTGATAGTTCAAGAATTTATGAGATTAGTTCCACAGAGAGAGAATCTGATATAAGGCAATGCCTGTGTTTTTCTGAATTTGGCAGATTGGATAAAGAGGGAGTATCTGAAATGGCCACAGAGAAGGAGGATTGCAGTGGGGATTGCCAGGGGAATCCAGTTCTTGCACTCTGGAATCACTCCAGGAATGTAAGGAAATGATCTCAAGATCGAAAACACATTGTTGGACAAAACTCTCACCGCCAAAATTAGCAGCTACAACATTTCATTGCCATCCAAGGTGGGAAATTTTTGATTTCAAGCTTACATTATTACCAATTCCTGAACATTGGCAACCGGGTTTTTGCTTTTTCGTGTCTTCAAAAAATGAAAAGTTTCATGACACTTTTACGTGTGAAATACTTTTTGAAAATTAGCAATTTTTTTTTTTTTGCATTTAGGTTAAAAAAGTACATTTCACATTTCTTGTCACTTGTATGAGTTAGTACAGAGAAAAAATTGACAGTAATTTGAAAGAAGTGGCCATATTGAAAGTGAACTTAAAATATATGTAGTTAATATTGTTCAAACTGAAATAATTCAAACTAAAGTAAAATTTGAAAGCTACAGAGCTAAAAATATGTAAAACAGGACAGAATAAAAATAAAAATAAATATAAATAAATATGTAGTTTTATTTCAAAGTAAATTGCTAATTATAATAAATGAATTGACACAAGATGCAAGTTACGTGAACAACTAATATAATTTCTTTTTTCTTTTCCATAAATTCAAGATCAACAGAACCTTACATTACAAGATATTGATTCCATTAAGGAAACCCAATGACAATTACCACAAATATTGGAGTAATTTGTTCCAACCTTCCCAAAAAAAAAATTGCAAATCAACCTTGTATTTGTTAATTTAACTTGATTTTCCAACCCAATAACATTCTAAATATGGAATGGAAGTAAAACCCAAATTCGCCAGGACTAAGAAAATCGTTTTCAACCAAACACCAACTCAGAACTGGCCACGTCCAAAATCAAACCCATGAGGAATCATAGAAGTAGCACAATCACTCATCAAACCCAGTCCGCCATGATTCGCACTTTCATTCATACCAAACATCATTGAAGAATTCGCACAATCAAACCCATGAGGAACCATAGAAGTAGCACAATCACTCATCAAACCCAGTCCACCATGATTCGCACTTTCATTCATACCAAACATCATTGAAGAATTCGCACAATCAAACCCATGAGGAACCGTAGAAGTAGCACAATCACTCATCAAACGCAGTCCACCATGATTCGCACTTTCATTCATACCAAACATCATTGAAGAATTCGCACAATCAAACCCATGAGGAACCGTAGAAGTAGCACAATCACTCATCAAACGCAGTCCACCATGATTCGCACTTTCATTCATACCAAACATCATTGAAGAATTCGCACAATCAAACCCATGAGGAACCATAGAAGTAGCACAATCACTCATCAAACCCAGTCCACCATGATTCGCACTTTCATTCATACCAAACATCATTGAAGAATTCGCTTTCATTATCATCAACTCATCAGCTTTCATACTCACATTCTTCTTCAACTCCTCCAACGCCGCCACGTACTGCTCCAGCTCCTCTAATCCTAGATCATCAACCGCCTCATCCCACCAAAATCTGCCGTCATTCGCCGCCTTCTTTGTCTCCTCAATCACCGCTCTCCGCCTCTTCTCCGCCTCCAATTCCTTCGAAACTTGGGCGTATTTCTCGTTGAAATCGAGCACCGAAGGGCCGTTGTTCTGCTCGGCGGCGGCGGAGGTTCCGGTGAGGTATCGATCGATCACGGCGTCGACGCTGGGTTGGCCGAAAGCGAAGGTGCGCTTTCCGGGAGATTTGACGACAATGGCGATCTCAGCGCCGCTGAGGATGCAGAGTTGACTGGCCTTCTTGAAGAGGCCGGCACGGCGTTTCGAGAAGGTGACTTGGCGATTGCTTACGCTCTCAATCTTCTTGATTTCGATCTTCCGGCGGCCTTGGGTGGTTGTCTTGGTGGTGTTCATGGTGACCATGCAAGAGAGAGAGTTGTTTGCTTGGAGAGAAAGTTAATGGGGGAAAGCTGTTGGAAAGAGAGTGGTGATTTGAGATGTATTTATGTAAAGTAAAGCATGCCTTGTTTTAGGAAAGTTCTAGAATTTTGCTGATCAGGGATCCTTAATATATGTCAGTGTTGTTATAAGGGAAGTTTTTATTTTTAATATTGGAAGTTGTCTGTAATATGCAAAAGGTTTGTCCAACAAATATTACACATTAGATTCCTGATTTTTACAAACAATCAAATTTATTTTTAAGTAATACTTTTGAACGTAGAGCAGAGTGCAGAGCATGTTTGATTGGATGGATTAGAGTATGAGACTGTAATTATTAATTCGTGAGCCCAATTATCTTATATTTATTTTAATATTTGGTTTAGGATTATTAATCTAATAGATAATTAATTCAACAAATTTGCAGAATTATTAGTAATGGGGTGGGGTGAAATTATTAATCTAATGGATAATTTATCCTATTAATTCAATTAGATAGTGAATACCACAATATTTTGATAATATTATTAATACCTCACGACTAGTCTTGTGAATCAAACATGGCTATAATTTTATACCGACCAAAAATAATGTTGAGAATTTGAGTCGACAGAACGATTACGGCATTTTCATTGATTTAAAGATTGAATTTAGCCGATGATTATAATTATTTGTTCATAACCAATGTCATTTGCAAATTGTAACCAAATCATCGCTTTATCTCATAACCAACATTATTTTGTAAATTCCACCTAACCACCAATAAATAAATAAATAAATTATTTTTCACCCCAATAACTTTTCTAAAATAAAAATCGAAAACAGGACAGAATAAAAACACAATCAATCAAACTGTTTATTTCATCAAATAGATCAGTCTTTCTGCTCAACTCCTTTTGCATTTTTGAAATGTTCTCAGTTAGGTTCAGAGAGCCCTCTCAATGGACAAGACAACCCCAACAGGCTTTCCAGGTAATATTTTTTTCCACTTAATCTTCATTGTCATCTTTAAAACCTTGAATTCATTTTCATAGAAGCTCTGTATGTATATGCAGCACTGAAAGTGCAAAAAAGAATGATATTTATCAACTGGGTGTAATTCTACTTGAAGTAATTTCTGGTAAACCAATCACATCCGAAACTCAATTGGCTGAGCTCAAACTTCAGGTATATATTTATTTTCCATCATTTTCTCTCTTCATTTCCTTCAAAATCTCAAAGGATGATGATTCGGCCCAACAGTAAATGTTAATGTTGGCATTTTGAATGATGTGGGTTTGAGTCACTGAAATAACCTTTCTGAAAAATTGGAAAAAGATTGAGAACATCTTATTCTTACTTGGGAAAAGATATCCATCCTCCCAACTCACTAATGGTGTTTTATGACTTGCCCACCATTTTCTTATTATTTTTTGTAGTATGTAACCATATAACCAATATGATGTTATGATAAGACAAAATAATTACTTAATTACGCAAATACTTGCCCAATAACAAGGGACTATCTACTTACATGTCCCAAAAACAGAGGAATAATAACTGAACCAATCACGAAACACTATTGGTTGGGCATACAACCACGTGATGTTGCAAATGCATGTGATAAATTATATCTTAAATCTCATATCGTTCTGTCTTAATACACTTCCAATCATTAAATTGTGTGAGCATCTTGAGACACTTAAATCTCAAGGCATAATTCAATGGTTGTTAGTGTATTAAGACAGAGAGACAGAATAATTTAGAGAAAGATAATCTTGTATTCCTGAAAAATACCCTATGTATAGTGTAGATTCAAATTTGTCCACATTTCATTTTCAAAGTACTTTTCAAAGAGAATTTTGGGAGCACATACCATTGCTGATTTTTCTCTCTTCAAATTCTAGTATCCTGCAAGTGTGCTTGATCCTAATTTGCTTCAACTTCGTTTTACACTTCACAGCTTGAAAGAGGTTTAGCAGAGTCACCATTGAGATTGCGAGAAGCAATCGATCCTTCCATTCGTGGCACATTCTCACACGAATCATTAAAAACTGCAGTCAAAATCACCATGAAATGCCTCAGCAAAGATTCAATCTCACATCCCACCATTGAAGATGTTCTTTGGCACATGCAATACTCAATTCAAGTTCAAGAAGGATGGACTAGCAGTGGAAACCTTAGCACAAAAGTCTAGTATTGCCTTCAATTAAACTTCTCAGATTTGCAGTGTTTGTTACCTGAATTTCATTATCTTGTGGTGTAATTCAGTAGCTATCCTGTTGAATTTCATGATCATGTGTAGTTACTCTGTATAGGGCTTTAGTGATTCAACAATGTATCCCCCTTATGCTTTTATAAAATTGTAAGTGCACAGAATTTAATAACAAAATCGAACAGAACCCTCTCACATGAGGTGGAAACTCATCCGGTTCTGTGATTGAATTTTATGCATATAGTTTCTTTTTCTATTTTGAAAAGAAATAGGGTTCAACATGAATGGAATTGGTTTGGGTTAATTAGAATCAAACTCAGAATTTAACTACACTTGCTTGGTTTCAAATTTTTAGATTCCGAATTTAACCAATCATCTTTTTGGTTCTACATTAATTTAAGAAAAAAATTTACTTTATCCCCTCAAATTATCACACTAGTGTCAATTTGTTTTCTCAAATATTGATATGAACAGAACAATTACCCCTTAAAATATTCAATATTAAATAAAATACAAAATACAATTAATTGTAATTATTCAAATTGATAATTCTATTTGGAGGTGGCAAAGTAATTTTTCCCTTAATTTAAAATTTTCATAATTATAAAGCAAAATTTTAGAAAAATAATTTGTAAAGTAAAATTGTTGTAGTATAAACATAAGGATAACCCTTACAATGGGGGAAGTGAGCAAAATTATATAGTAGAACTGTACGTAATACATAAAAATTATAAGTACCTAAACAATTTTTATGACAAACATTTCTTTAATAGCATTTCTTTAGAAATTTAATGACAAACATTTTTTTATGTACTCAAGGTAAGAGATTTTGTACAAGAGTACCTAAACAAGGTGGAATTCTAAGAAGACGGAACAATTACTCCTTCAACGGTCCCTTTTGACACTTTCTAATTGGTTTCAAACCTTCAAATTTTAATAACTTCTAATTCACATATCCATTTGTGTGTGTGTGTGCGCGCGCGTGTGTGTGAAATTTGCAATTTAAAATCCTCTCAAGATCTATAACATGATATGAAATTCTATAAAATAAATTAACAAAATCATAAAACTTCACTGCATTAGTGAAATCAATGAAATTTCTTGTTAAGCATTAAAAGTTCTAGAATTAAGGATCAATCACAAAAAACTAGGTCCCTAATTATAAAGTTCATGGTAAAAAGTTGAAATAGAGGGTTTGAAAATGAAAAATTTTGAACTTTTCTGTTTTAAAACAGTGAAAACAGTGAAATTTCCCTGAATTTGCACTGTACAAATGTATTTGTGTCAAATTTCGCTGACCAAACAGTTGAAATTTCACCATCTTAAGGAGGTGGAACTTAACTATAACAGATAATTTCATTCCTAATTATCCATTGCATACATGCACAAGTATAAGATATTAAAATTATTAATCCTGCTTTATCTGAGATAAAAACAGAGCTGACCAAGAGAAGGAAATACTCTCATAGCAGAACCTGAACAAGTTTAAGGACAACAATTGTACATCTTAGAACACCAGTCTAGTTCGTCTATGATACTTGTATCGGCCTCAGTAGGCCGACAACGGGTTTTTAACAAGAAATTTTTGTATGTACATTAACTCGGACGAAAAAAACAAGACAGCAAGCTCAACAGGAACTAAAATAGAGACTAAAATTCATCCATAGAACATAAGCACACACAATATAATTCACGGAGTTTGCAACAGAATCGTTTCTGAAGTTTCAATGTTATTCAAACATGCCATTAAACTATTTTTTGGACGTTTAATCGCACCCTACTACAAGGGGAATCAGTCAGCCGTCCAACTCTACTCAACAATCTCCCGTACTCTCCTGTTGTACTCCCGCTTGTTCTCGCTAAACATTCGTGCAGCTTTAGAATTGGCCAGAGAGTTTGGGTTCAAGTCACAGAGCAATGACTGCAATAGAAAAGTTCACGGTTAAAAAAACATTACAAGCAAGAGATGGGAACAATACCCCTCAAAAAATGATGACTATAAACACGTTCACAATCATAAAATATACACATACACAAACACACATACACATACGGAGATGGAAGGAGGGCAACATAATATTTGTGCTGCATCATAACTACTGACTAGATGTATGAAGTCATCATAATGTAATGCCATTGATAACACTGCTCTATACATGTACCATTTGACAAATAGTGTCTCAAGAGGAGTGGAACCAGATGTGGTCACAGATTGTAAATACAAAGCTTCTTCAGTAGACAAAATTAACTGAGCTATGAAAAGACAAATCGATATACCTTCCTACAGAATCCAATTCAAGAATCCAGCTACCTTTCTATAGCTTTTTCCTTATGCTCTTCCTCGTATTGTATGCATTAACTTTAGCTACTTATCAACCTCATTCACAAAGAAGTCATATTAAGGGACACAGTGATGCAACGAAATTCCTCAACCTTCAAATTCATAATAATAGAAGCCTGCAAAAACAAATAAAAGTACAGATCATAAGAGCATAACCATTTGGTTCAAATCTATACAACGGTTTCAACAAGGGCTACAAATCCGTGCATGATTATCAGGGGCACAAAAGCTGTTTAAAAGCCTGCTTAATGTTGTTTTTATGCAATGATTTATGAAACCATACCAAAGCTTCTCAATGTATTATTGAGTGGAACTGTCAGAGGTCCAACCAATCTCCAACTAGATTTACCAAAGGGGAAATATCAATTCAGTCCAACTTCTGTAAAATAATTACATATTAATGATAAACTTTATAAATATTAAAATACTAAGTTATAAACTTCTTCATGAATATGTAAATAATTTTGGAAAAGACCACTGTTATGTAATATCCCTGCCCAAGAGCAATAAAAATTGGAAAAAAAAAAGAGAAGAAAAACAAGAACAAGAGACTATTAGTTCTGGTGGGGATTTACCACAATCTTATAAATCTATGGGTGGAGGCTCACCCAAAATCAAAAGCCTCACAACCTGAGAACAAGGACTCAAAATTCATCACCAAACAACAAAAAACTCTCTTTTGCAATGGGCTACACAGTAACTTTTTCTTTCCTCTTTTTTTTTTGAAGGGGGGGGGGGGGGGGCATTTTTAACACTACCTAAAAAATTGACAACAATAATTCCTTGTTTCCTTTAAAATGAACATTTATAACTGCCTAAAAAAGTAAGTAGCCCAAGAACACCAAAAAAGAAAGTGTCCACACTCCACCACATGAGCTTGGAATGAAAAGAGAAAAGATTGATGGGGTAAACATTGTCGACCCCATGGATTCATTCTTCATGATGCTTAGGGTAAATGCAATCAATCAATTAATTCAAACTCAAGACTTCATTAAAAAAAATATTAAAAAAAAAAAAATTTGTTCATTCATAAGCTTGCTACAGTTCAGTTGTCGTTGTTTCCATACTCTACTGCAGCTTTAACTTAGAACCCCTTCAATCCCATTTGTTATCAATAGTCACACTTGACAGTACTAAGTTCAACACACGACGTACAAAGTAATAATCCCATACCTGGATGGAGGTAAGTATAGCAGCCACATCATAGATAGGACTCCACTGATTTTGTAGAATATCCAAACAAATACTTCCATCTGCATAAACTGCCAAAAGGCAAGGCAAAATGGGGACATAATGTTTTATCAGCAGATACACACATTTCATTTTATGAACATATAAAAGATAACAATAAATGGTAATTGTAAAAGCTA